AATAAGATATTGGAATAACAGAGACCAAACTTGTTAACAATACTCAAGTAAATAAGCTATTTTAACAGAACCCATGAGATACAAAGTTGCCACCCTTAAATAATATAAAAATATACTATATAAATTTTCCTTTTTAAACGGTCAAGTTCATTTTTTTAGTCACGTAATTTTACATATCTCAAATTGATTAAAAATATTGATACATCATTTTAAACATTATTTTAATAATCAAAATACGAATTTAGTGATCATATTCTGTAACAGATATTAAAAATATGTTTACCCAATAATTCTTTAAAGTATTTTTAGGGACAAAAATATTAATTATTCAAACACATTTTATTTAAATTAGTTCAAAATTTTCTTTCAAAAACATGTCAAAGCAAGCTTAGCATTTATTATTGTTTGTAAAAAGTTAATTAATAGAAACTCTTCATTTTAACACAATTATAAAAATATCTTAATGGGTCAATGTTAAAAGTAAAGACATGTATGAATTCTTCTAGATTTTCATTTTGGTCATTAATTATACAATTATTATTTCACCCTTAAATAATATAAAATTACTAAAATGCCATTATTTAATAAATATTTTTTGTTTAATGAAAATTTCACACTACAAATAAAAAAAAATTATAAAAAATGTGGATCCAAATAAATGTCACGTATTAGGATACACATGTCATTTAAGAATAGATATTTGATTATATTGTTATTATAAATCTATTATCACTTTTCATGATGTCATAACATAAAAAGAAATATTCTAGAATGTTTATAAAATGACAAAATTGCTTTTGGTCGTCTTCAACATGACTCTACGATATATGTTTTTTTTTAAAAAAAAATTAAATTGTTAATTTATGTATCTTTTATGTCATTTTCAAATAATATATGTTACTCCATCTGTTTCATTTTATATGATACAAGTGATTTTAGGAAAGTCAATAGAATTTCTTATATGATCCTCACATATTTTCAGTAGTCATTTTACTGTGATTCATAGTACTTTTTAGTTCTTACGTCATTTCCAAACAATATATGCAATTTTCTTTTGTTTCGATAAAAATAAGGGAATCAACCAAATTTCATTATGGTTTTTAACTATGTTTTTCTAAAAGTATCTTGAATTGTTACTTTGATATTTTAAGCTTCTTTTTAATGTAATTTTTAAATATGCAACCAATTAGAAATTAAAATGAAAAATTAAAGTTTTAAAATCATTCTATTTTTATATTAAAATATTCAAATCTTTAAAACTCCATATATATATATGCACAAATTAATAGAAGGAAACTAAAAGAATTTTTCAAGTATTAGAAATCGTCGAGAAATATGGAAATCAATATAGCAGGCAAAACAGATTGGACAAATAATTTCTTTTATGAATCTCAAATCCACCATTGCGGATGAGGTAGAACATCTCTTCATCAATTTTTTCTTCCAGTTCTTAAGTTTTTTTTTTTAAAAAAGTAGTTTTTCCATCTAATTTTTTTTATACATATGAATTATGCTCCCTTTTTAAAGTATGGTACCTTGTATATTTGATTCTGGTGACGAAAAGTTCCATGGAAATGGATCTAATCAACGAAACAATATGTTCATCATGAAGAATTTGAGAATGAACAAGTCAAAAAGAGGATACATACTCGAGTTTGAAATCTACTATTGAGAAATATTGGTCAAAAAAGAAGGAAAAATTTGATCCGTCACAACACAATCTTCATTATCAAAAATGTTCTTTTGATTCTTAAATTAGTCTTTGTTAGTGTTATTAATGATCCGATAAATCACTACTATAACGCCTTTGTTTTATGTGATGTATCATCTCCTAATCTTTCGGTCTACTCTACCCAAGGTAAATGAATTTTGATCTATTTTTGTGTTCTTTCGATTGTTCAAGCTTCCATTAATTTATTGTTGATTCAATTGCGTGATACATTATGAAAAATTTTAGTGTTATCATATGGCAATGTATCATCATTCAATTTATTTTTTTGATACATAAAATCCTAAGATTGTTCATTCAGTAGTTACTACTAATGTAGATCATGATACATTAGTAGTAAACGACGAGCGTATACTGTAATTTTGTATCTATGAATTATGATGTGGTCATTATTGTCTATCTGAATGTGAATTATATAAAAATGTATCGTCTTAAAAGATTGTATATGATCAAACTATATAGTATATGAAACAAAATTATAAATATAACAATTCATTCAACAATATGAACTTTATACTTGATACGTTCATAAGAATTATTCAAAAATTACAAAACAAAATTGAATTGAGTTGTAACCATCAAATTCACATATATGATACATAATTTAGACTACTAAGTATCTTAACTGTTTGTTTGATACATAGTTATAAAAAAATATATTTGATATCCATTGAAGGTATATAAGTTAAATATCATGTTTAAATGTTTTAAAATATGATACAATGTTCTACTGATTACATTCTATATAATTTACACTTTATATGAATGAATCAACAACTAACTACAACTAAGTTATAAAGTATATGAATGAATCAATAATCAAGTTATCAACTACATTGCATTCTTAGGGGTCAAATGTATCAGCAACTAACTATAATTACTAAAAAAAAGAAATTTTGTGTGTGTATGCTTGAATGAATTTGGTACTTAATTTTATGACATTTTTGTATCAGATTATATAAGACACATATATAAGACAATTCAAACTGTAAATAACAACTAAATATATTAAAAGTTAAAGTCAAAATAATTAAGTTTTTTTTAGAGAATCACTCTAAAACTTGTGTAGGAAAAAGTATCCCAAAACAATAAAAACAAACACTCCAAATTTAGATTTAATGTATGTTAATAACCATAACACTCTAAAAAGGTGTCTAACAAGTGGTAGATAATCTATATTCAACATTAACCATAACCTCTTGAGATGGTGTTGTGAATTGACTCTTAGACTTTTGTGGATCCTCATTTTCACTAACATATTCTATCTTGACCTTTTCAGTACCGAACTTTCATAATAGGGTTGCATATTGTGTGCGAATGTAATTTGATCAAGAATCATTGGATAGAATAAAGAATCCGAATTCCTTTTAAAATGCAAAAAATACATTACGATTCAAAATAAAATCATACTAATATTTATCGTATATGATAATTATTAAAACTAGATATAATGTATCTTACACATAGACTAGTACAAATTCTGATTGATACACCATTTCACATGATGATAATGTATCGTATACACACTGAATAATATAAATTTTACCTGATACACAATTGAACATTATTTTTGAATTAATAACATGACATCTTGTGACAGATACACAACTAAACATATTATAATATTTGATAACTTCATATAATTACAACAACTACTCAAATAATGAACAAAATTAGAATGTATTGTATCAATTAATTAATCTTAAAAATAGATACATTACAATATGAAACATGAATTTTATCATTAATCTATCATTTTTGATTGGCTAACATAAACAAGTTTAAAAATCAACAAGAGAAGATAGAAAACTAATCTAATGTAAAGAAGGTCGAGAAATTGTAGGAGACAATTTTCGATCCCTCCTTTTGAGATTTTTATCAACCTGCACTTTAGAAGATGAAGAACAATATTAATTCGCTATTGCTAATGGATATGAAAAACTCGCACTCTAGAACGTGAAAAAACAACAACGATGCACTATTGCTAATGGTTGATGAAAATGTTAGATCTACTTTCAGCCCATTTAGGATCAACGCGAAATTGATGAATTTTTTTATTAAAAAAAAATCAAAGAAAACTAGAATGGAAAAAGATGAAAACTACATATTCGGTGATTTGATATTAATTGACTAGAGAAAAAGAAATAATTTGAAATTCAAATTGAGATGAAGGATGTAACTGATTAGATTATGGGAGTGAAATAAGGAGAGGTTGAAGGAGTTAAATTAGGAGAAGAGAAACGTTGGTTACTGGGTATCACAATAATTCATAAAAAATAGAGAAATACTTATAATGAGGTAATACTAATAATAATAACTAAAGATGTTTCTAGAACTATTTTTTGTTATTGGCAGATTTTTGTTTGCATGAAGTTACATTTGTTTTTACCTTTGATCATCATTCACTTCATATATAGAAAGATTAATCAAGAATTATTTATTTTTGATAGATTTTTGCTAGAATTATTCTTGGCTGTCTTTAATGCAAATATATCATCCCGTTCATTTTTATTTGTAAAGTTACTTTTTAACATTTTTTTCTTTAATTTCAATATAATATATATTATTAATTTTATCACTCTTATTTATTTTCAAGTATATTAATTAGAACCAAAATAAAGATGAAAATAATTAATTCATGATAATTTTTTATGTAAAAAATAGACATTTTTTATAAGCATAATGAATAGAAAAAATATTAAGAATTAAACTAAAGTAATAGTAAAATAGATATCACAATAACTTATAAAAGAAAAGAAAGTGAAGTAATAACAAAATAAGTTAATGGTAATAACAATAACTTAAGATGTTTTTAGAACTATTTAATTTTTTTGTTATAATTCTAGGTAGATTTTTGTTAGTGTAAAATTACATTTTTTCCCTTGATCCATTTATTTACTTTATATGAAGAAAGAGATTTCTAGAATTATTTATTATATTTCTTAATAGATTTTAGAATGCATTTTTATTCTTCGATCGTCCATCCACTTCACTCTTCTATATAATAGAAATATATTAGGTCGGTACTAGCACGAACTCCAATATCTAGTTTATAACTATAGACGACATTGCTCATGTTCACTTCTAAATCACGTTATTGTTATATCTAATAGACAATTAATTCAAAGCTTTGTGCATTGAGTTTTATTTTCAGCCCAATTAGGGTAGGCAATTGTATTACATTCCTCCATTTTCACTTTGTTCTTTTGTTTTCTCTTATGTATAATATGTAGTTAAGACTTTGTTCTATTGTAAATACAAAAGTGAGGCACACAAAAATATATTGTTGTTTATTCATAGAAAGAATGAACTTCTCATGGACAAAAAGTAATCATGTAGTCAACTTTAATACATGTAAATGTGCTATTTTGATCATCATAAGCATAGGTATACGCTAGAGGACAGAAATGTTTGAATTGTCTTGAGTATCTAGTTGGTTTGCAAGTTTGTGGAGAACCATAGGAACCAGTACAACAATATTGTGGTTGTTGATATGCTACACAAGCACTTTTGCACCCAATGATACTACCACCTACTGGATTTCTTACTGCTAAGTCATTTGGGCATCCTTGTTTATTGATATCTATAGGACAACTTGTTGTGTTGCAATCACCTCTATTTAGAGGTTTAATAGAGACTGGTAGATTAAAACCATCTACTAAGCTTATATCATAAAAGTCTTTTCCCTCATATCCTACTATTGTGAATTCTAAAAGGGTTTCAGGTGGAATTGGACCCTTACCATTGCAAGCTACTTCTCCAGAATCACAATCTCCACTAAGACAAGTGAAATTTTTCCCATTTTTTGAGCAATGATATCTTGCCCATATTCGTCCTGACCATGAATTTTGTACATCAAGTGATGATGAAGCTTGTGATGCTAATTCAAATCCAGTTGACAATTGTGCTCCTTTGCTTGTAAGTGTAGCTGGCCAAATAGTATAAGGACAATTATTCTTTATTATAAATTTGGCCCCATGGGATCCTGCAATGCCACATTCATAATAAATTTTGTAAGTATAAGAATCAACATTAATATTATCTTATATAAAATATAAAATAGAAAGGAGTCACAAGATTTCTTTTTTTTTTTTCCTTTAATGGGTTCTATGTTGTATGAATCTAAATCAGTTCAATTGGGGAATTCATCATCAACAAAAAAAATAGAAATAATATTCACTCATTCTCTCTAACTATATTTAAAAAAGATTAACATGACTTGAACACTTGCAAGCAATCTTGAAATCATTATTTTGTCTAAATTAGAGCTTCAACAGATTGATTAATTATATATGTACTTATCAATTAAGCTAGAAAGTATGCATACCATAGAAGAAGAACAAAAACATAACATTGATGACAAAATTTGCTATCATTTTAATGTATATATCAAAGATTTTTATTCATGTTTAAAATGAAAAAAATTCACCCCTTGGATCTTTTATAACAAGCAAACGAATAGTAACAGTCAACAATTTTTTTGACTAAAGGGAATTGCAATAAATGTGAAATTAATCATATCTTTTAAGAATATTCTAGAGAAATATTAAAGATATTGACTTCTAAAGAGATAGTTAAAGTCATAACTGTCAAGATTATCTAAGTGACGTGAGGTAAAAATCTGCATATATCCATCCATTATTTGTTCATATTTAGTTTCTTTTATCGTCTCTTTGAGCATTTGATTTAATCCATTACACTTAAGTTTGGTGATTTTAATGTGTATGATTAAAACAGTGTTAGGTTGAAGAAATTTAAAGTAACAACGAGTAAAAGAAAAAAAAATTATAAAAAAATTAAACATATAACTTAATGGATTGAGATTAATATTGATATCAATCATTAGAACTACATATAAGAAGCACAAAATAATTTTGAAATGACAATTGATGTTAATATAAATGTTATGTCCATCTAAATTATAAGAATTTCACTCTTTCTGTAATATTTTTATTATTTTATTAATTTTATTTATTTACCATACTGTAGTAAAATTTAGATAAGGTAAAAAAACTTAATTTTGAATTATTTCCAGATTAACACAATTAAGAAATATAACCCTACAACACTTCTCAACAATAAATTGCTCAAATTGTAATCAGTAGTTGTCATCTCATAGAGTTATACTCTTAAATCAAATAGAAACTAGCGCTAGCTAGGTTAAACAATGCTGAACTAAAACTCTGATTGATGATAAAAATAAATTCATACCTTAACTAATTTATGTTCAAGTGTGAACAACCATGACAAAAAAATGGAACTTTTGGGGAGATAAGTGATGCAACTTGACTTATGAAATTGGGTGAGGTGATAAAATTGTATTAAAATAATTGAATTGATGAAGTTTCATTTCTTTTTTCTATGGATTTTGAGAAAGGTTGATGATCTTTGTATTTAAAATTGAAGGGAGTGTATCGTGTGTTTTTTAGGTTTACTGTGCAAAGAGGGAAGAAAAATGGAGATTCGAATTAGGTCAAAAAATAATTTTAAGATTTGGAACAAACTTGATCACGACTCAAGCTATAACTCGTGGTTTGAAACCTAGATCGCGATGGCACATTACTTATTTAAAATATAGAACTTACTTAGATCCACTTTGTTATGACCTGAATAATTATCTAAGTGAAGAATAAAGAAATGATGAATAGAAATATAACACCTGGACGTACGAGATTTAATTGGAGATAATGAATCTGAAAGACTGTGATTGCACGTGAGCATCCTATAACTAAGTTTCGGAAAAAGCAAGAGGGGCATTGATCAAATTGGTATTAGGGAAAACGGTCTGATATACCCCTCAACTTTGTCATTTGGAGCTGATATACCCTCGTTATAAAAGTGGCTCATATATGCCCTTACCGTTATACAAACGGCTCACATGTACCCGCGCCATTACAGCGTCATTACAAAATGGCTCACATATACTCTTCATTTAACGGAAGTCAATAAATTAGTTTAAAATTTATATTTATTACTTCTAATTTTTTTAAAAAAATTTATTTAGGGGTATATATGATTCTTCTATCAAAGTTCAAGGTACATTTTAATTTTTTTTATACATGAATTATTTTTTGACTTCTTTTATAATAACTATTTGAGTTTCTTATTTTTATTTTGTTTTTTTTCTTTCATTCCTTAGTTTAAAGAAAAAGAAATTAAACTATTTTTTTGTGTGTATTGTAATTTAATTTTGTATTCGAAGAAAAAATTTGGTCATCTACAATAAATTTTACAAGAATATTAGTGAAATATAAATAAATTTAATTATCAAAATAATAATTATAAATTAGTCATTAAAATTAAAAAAAATCAAAAAATATATTTAACCAGCATTATATTTTTTGAAAAAAATAAATAAAAATTTACATAGCATATCAGCAGCTTTTCCATTGATATTATTCTCGTGCTCTTCTCCTTCTCTTCTAACAGACTCTCTTCTCTTCTCTTCTTTTGAATCTCCTTCTAAATTCTTTTCTCATATAAATCTGCAGGTCCTTATGGCTATGGCGAGTTCTTCAGTTAGTTTCCGTTAAATGTAGTTTTAGTTTTCATGTATTAATGTACTTGTCTATAATTTTCATATTATAAATCATAAAATCTCAAAGACTATCGTGCTCGATTTTTTTTTCCATTTGAATTTTCATATCTCAATCGAGATCATAACAATTGGTATCAAAGCAACGAACCTATCTTGACTGTGGGTAGTAATTGGATGAAGATGTTCAAGGAATCAAAAAAGAGGTCGGCGGTGTCATATAACACTTTGGCTATGAAAGGAGTGACTGGAATAGAATGTTAAGCAATTGCAGAAGTGCGAGGATTGCCTATGCAACATTAACTATGATTGTGACTCCTGCCTCTATGATTGCATATGCAATATTGACTGTTCATTGTTACTTTTGTCTTGATGAGGTGATGGAGAAGAGCAATGCACTCAACGACTCTATCAAAATCAAGGCAGAGAAGCGAACTATGGAAGTTGTTTCAATTGCACCTCTACAAATTTAAAAAAATGGCAGAGATCAAGTTTATCATGACAACTGTGAATGTTGAAATAGCAGGTACACATCCGTCTTCTCGATCATGAGTTAAATTTGCAACATATTGGTGAGGTTTCTTAGATTAGTAAACGAGTCTGTGTATATGTAGTAATGAAAGATGAATTAAAGGAAATGAAACTAAGAGTTGCTTCCCACTTGTTTGATAAAATGTCCGAAAGGAATCATGTTCACGCAGTGTAATGTTTTCATAGGAATTAGTTGGAAATGGACTAGTTGTTCCTATATGGAATCTAGGGATAAGTTTGAAGACCCTGAAGTTAATTGATCACACAAGTGATGTTCGAGAAATTTCAATGGATATGATTAACATGTTTTGTTTGCATAGATCTTCTGATAACATCAATCGAGTGTGGGATACTGGATGGAAGTGGTTTGTGTATTCTCCTGTTGTGCATATTGATTCGATATGTAGAGTGGTATAAAAAGTTTCTCATTACACTTAAGAATATCGTGCAGCAAGAAGATTATGTAATTTTGGAGCTATATTTTGCCATTAACTTTGCATGATGACTCTAAAAGGATAGCCACAATGTATTTGTCTATACTATGGGTGTACAATTTGGAAAGCTTCTTAAAGAAAGGTTCGGTCATGGCTAGAAACTTGTTGACTGTTAGAGTAAAGGCCTCCTTGTGTCACGATCCGCATGTATACCCTAGAAGTTAGGGTATTCTTAGTTCATAACATGACGTACTTGATCTCTCGGGGGTCGTGTACACGCCCTTGAACATTATTCATTGTGTATATATGAAAAGTACACGGAATTAAAACTTTTCTTTCAAAAACATAATGCGGAATCATTTCATGAAACTTCTAACATATATCTCAAAAACCATCTATGACATCATGAGTACAATAGTCTTGGGTCACAACCCATAAAAAGTCTAAACATGAAAGAATATAAAAGGCATCATAGTGGTGGTGTCCTCGGATGATATGAGGACTCACCAATCTTCTCTTCTTGGAAACTCTACCTTTCAAGCAACCTCAATCTTCTCAAGACCCTACATGGACAATGTGTAGGCAATATGTGTTGGTACGATAAGTTCCAAGTATGGAAACATCATACCAAATATAAGATATCTCAAAGGTTTAGTCAACAATAGACATAATCATAAGAGATAAAAGACATAAGCACAACATCAATAACATAAGCATAATAAAGCGTCATAAAGCATATAAGAGTTCATTCTTGACTCATTGTCTTTCTTACTATTATGAACTATCTCACAAGCCACCTTCAAGTATCCTTGTACAAGACTAAGGTAGGTCTCAACTACTACCAAAGCTAAGTACCTCTCTTTGGTCATACATGATCATAGTTCATTTTCGTAATTAAGACATAAGGTTCATCATAACAGAAAAATTTTATTATGTATGAGGTATAACTAGTACTAGTTGTATGAGACATTATTTTATTATAGATATGTTCTAATTTGTGGACCCATTTTTGTTTTTTCTTCTTGGCCATTAATTTCTCTTTCCTGCACTTCTCTAATCTTTTCCTTTTTCTTCTAATTTTATGTTTATCTTAAATCTATATGCAATTACTATCCCAAATTTATTCAGTATAGATGAAAATATATTTTATTTATTTATTTATGCTTTATTTTTTTAACAAAAATATTTTTTACGAAATAATATTCTTATCATAACTACAGAAGATATTAAAAATTAACATATTTTAAATGGTAAATACGACTAATTTAGTAAAATGAATCTCTAATGCAATATAATTAAATTTATAGAATTTTTTTGGTTAAGAATAGTGAAACACTTGTTATTAAATTAAATATTAAAAACTATTTGGCATTTGAACATAGAATTTAAATATATTTTTTTACAGTGTATGAAATATATGGAGCAAGAGTTGAAAATAAAATTATTTTTTATTTTCATTAAAAAAATAGAAATAACATTCATGTTTTAAATAATATCAAAAGTGAAAAATGAGCTTTAAAAAAATTATACTTACATACTTTTTCAAATTCAAAATATACCTTCAATTTTGAAAAATTGTCTTTCAAATTTTCATGATCAAACATCAATTTTTAAATAAAATTAAAAAATAATTTTTATATAAATTCTAAAAGTAAAAGTTTAAATGATACGAAATATGAAATTGAAAATTTTTAAAGAACAATTAATAAAAAATGAGAGAAAAGAAATATAAATAGTTTTAGTGGTCAATTTTATGACATAAGTGACCATTTAAAGAATTGACTTGAGCTTTTGTATGCTTATGCTTTTTTATTTAATGATAAAATAAGTTATTTCTAAAAAAATGATTAAAACAAATAAGCAAAAAACTATTTTCATATGTACAAAATGAAAGGTTAATTAAAGGGTTCCATAAATAATTGGTTTAAAAATTATTGAAAGAAAGAAAAAACAGAGAAGGAGAAAAACAGAGGAAAGAGCAAAACAAGAAAGAGAAATAGCCCAAAGAAGAAAAACAAAGTGTAGGTCCCATCAGTTTAAATAAAAAATAATAAAATAATGCCTCATACAACTAGTACTAGTTGTACCTTATACATAATAAAATTTTTCATCATATCATAAGATATGAGTACTATGCCCCTAGGCTACTTCAAAACATACTTGTGCAATGCATGTGAAGCATCCTTTAATACCTCATACACTAAGCATATCTTGAAATTACCCTATATTGGTTCATGTCAACTTAGGAGTCATCTAATAGACCTATTTCATATTGACTGGGAACTATCATCTTAAGTTAATCATGTCATGAAATGCAACCCTAGTCACTATTCAAGCTAAACATATATCATGTAGGGGTCAAGTCATACTTGTGCAATGTATAGATGACATCCCATACTACCATTCATACTAAGTGCTCCTCTAGACCAATTTAATCCAAGCTAACTTGTCTTGCAACCTTGTCTATTAAGCTCAACATACTATCATAATAGACCTACTATCATGGAAAGCATCTCAACGTACTAACCAAGCTAACTGAAGAAAGAATACAACCCTCCTAACCACCTTGCAACCAATCATGTAGATGCAAGCTAATAACAGGGAAGCATGAATCCTCAACCCTAAGCGATCATGGGAAGCTAATCTGAAGCTATTACATGAAATGCACCTTGCATGCAAATCAAGCTACCATGAAATGCACCTTGCATGCAAGTCAAGCTAACAGCAAGAGAGTATAGGCCTTTCCCCTAAAGCTACCATGAAAAGGTTTTAGCCTAACCAAGTCAAGCTAACATGATCAAGTATCCTTACAACACTAGGCCAAGATAATCATGGGAGAGCTTGCTTCCTCCATCCCAAGCTAACATGAGAACCACCATTCTCAAGGTACCATGAAGTTTATCATCTCAAGCTACCATGAGTATTTCAACTCAAGCCTCCTTGAGATTTACTATCCCAAGCTACCCTTAAGACCTTCCATCTCAAGCTATCATGCCTTGGTCTTATCTCACCAAGTCTATTATACATGAAGCGATCATACAATCCATCTTCAAGCTAATCTAATTCATCATGTATTAATTCATTTTAGGTTCTTAGGTCAACCTAGAGTCCATCTACTTAAGAAATTGCTTCTCCTAATCATGTTCGTGTCTATGTGTAGAAGAGAAAGGGAACATCATCACAATCATCCTCATCATGACTTTACCACCAAAGCCCTAACATCAATGGCATAACAACCCATAAACAATTACTACCTTTAATTCATTATGACTATGTTTAATTTCATGCTTTCTTCATTTAATTAGATCATTAGAAGGTAATTCTAGGTATACATGATCACATAGGTTCAGTTCAAGCTTTACAAGTCAAGACCAACCTAGATCAATTAAGTTTAGTTCAATTCATATCTAGGTAATTTAATCATGATCAACATAAAACCTTCATCTAGCCTCTAATGGCCTAAGATCACCATGATCACCTTCAAATTCAATTACCATAATTCACCATGAAAATACCATAGAAATAACATATAATCATAATATAAACATCATTTAATGTTACCCATTAGATTGGGATCACAATCAAGCCTTACCCACAATGCAATCACAACCATCTCTAGAATGGGGTTCTTTGGATTCACAATTGAAGGGAAACTAGGGGGGCTTCATGGATGGAAGAATCCATGAATGAATAAGCTTCACATACCTTAGATTAGAGCCTTAAATCCATCTTGAAACCTTGGTGAATTCGTCCTAAAGCAGCCTTCAATTTCTCTTCTTCTTCAATGATGGTTTTCGGAATATTTTGGGAGAGAAAAGTTATGATTTGGAGTCTAGGGTCTTATTGGCTATTGTACTACTCTTCAAAATACCTAAAATAACCTCCAATAATTAATCCCTAAAGCACCCAAAATACCCCTGCAACTATTGGACCGTTTAACCAATTCTAATTTGACTTAAAAACGACGCGATCAAATCTGGGCACTTACTGCGCGTCGTGGAGGCATTGTTCTTGGATGTTTCATATCTAGGTTGCCCGGCAACTTCACTGCCCTATATTGGGTCCTCCTCGGGGACCCTTAGGCTGGTCCCTGGGGCGTTGTCTTGGATGTTTCAATCCTTTACATGTCATTCTACGCATATGAACCATCTATACTCAATTTTTACCGTCAAACCATCCTCGATAACTCCACTACGAAACACTACAACACACTAGTTCAACTTCAACTAGTTTTCGGACGTCTTGGACGTTCTTGGGCGTTTGACCTACAATCACTTCCAAACTTTATATAGTGACTCTTAACACTATTTTTAGTCATTTTAGGACCTTATAAGCTCATGACGCTCATATTAGGCTTTAGCTACACCTAATTCACATTTGAGGTGTTGCACCTCGCAGAACAACATGTTTTTAAACAATGTCAACCTTGATCATTTGATTTTATCCTCCTTGTTGAAATATACTATGGGGATCTTAACTTCGGTAATAGACTTAAACATGGGAAAGCTACATGGTTATAAATTACTTGAACGGGGCTACTAGTGAATTGATCAATCAAAACTCAAGTTTTAAATTAGAGACTTTCAGCGTGGGTACAATTTGGATGTCTGGATATTCGAGGGGTACATCTATAGTTGATGTGGTTGGCCTACATATCCTTTTTTAAATACTAATGACTTTGCTAAACTAGAGATGGAGTTGCAATAGTAAGAATAAAGGTGTATGGTTTGCATTTCACTTTTGACCCATGAGGTATGCTGATTGGCCTGGAGAAAGAAGTTGTTGGGTTGCATTTTATAAAAATAAAACATTTCAATATTTGTATCATCAACCATGCATCTTCACGGAATATGTGACATCATTCTTCCCTATTCTCTCTTGGAGTCGAGTATATGAAATCCAAGTCACCTCAAATGTTACTTATATAGTTTTTCTAGTTGATGGAGAAACTTGCACTACACCTTTTATATTATCAACTAGGCAACTTTTGTTAGTTTATTCTTATCACTAAGGAAGTGGAGTGTTGTATTCATGGTAAGGAATTCTATTTCTTGATTGCTATAGCACCTCAAACTCGAGGTCTTTCACATCTATTTCAATTTGATCCGTACGTATCCTTTTTAAAGAAGTGTTGTTACTTGAGTGACTCTGAGCATAACTCGTCATTTTTTCATCTGGTAGCCCCAAGTATACAACATGAATTTTACGATCAACTTATAATGCTTTTTCTTTAAGCCAGTGGAACGCTTTTGAGACACTTAAAGAACATTTATGTCTATCAAATCTTACAAAAGGTGTGTTTTCCCTGCCACTTGCAAAAGATTCCAAGAAGCATATTCATTTATTTTGAACTTCATATATCGAAGGGTCAAATATTTATGGGCAAATATTTTCTTGAAGAATTTGGAGAGAAGAATATAATTTTTGTTGATCTATTTGCACTATGTAGCACTGACTAAATCTCTAACTGATGATAAAAATAAATTCATACCTTAACTAATATATGTTCAAGTGTGAAGTGAACAACCGTTGGAAAGACGCGAGTGCTTGACATGACAAAAATAATCGATGAACTTTTGGGGAAATAACTGACGCAACTTGGAGAAAGGAAATCAGGTGACGTGATAGAATTGTATTGAAGTAATTGAATTGATGAAGTTTCATTTCTTTTTTCTATGGAGTTTGAGAAAGGTTGATGGTCTTTGTATTTAAAAGTGGAGGGAGTGTATCGTGTGTTTGTTAGCTTTATTGGGCAAAGAGGGAAGAAAAATGGAGATTCGGGTTAGGTCAAAAAATAGTTTTAAGATCTGGAACAAACCTGATTACGACCCAAGCTACAACTCGTGGTTTGGAACCACGGATCGTGATGCCACATTACTTTATTTAAAATATAGAATTTACTTGAGATCCACTTTGTCTCGACCTGACTAAATGATCTAAGTGAAAAATAAAGAATAGAACTATAACACATGAACGTACGAGATTTATTTGGAGATAATGAAGCTGAAAGGCTGTGATGGCACGTGAGCATCCTATAACTATGTCCTGGAAAGAGCAAGAGGGGCATTGATCAAATTGATATTATTCTCGTGCTCTTCTCCTATTCTATGAGACTCTCTTCTTTTCTTTTCAATCTCCTTCTAAATTCTTTTCTCATCTAAATCTGCAGGTCCTTATGGCTACGGCGAGTTCTTCAGTTAGTTTCCGTTAAATGTAGTTTTAATTTTCATGTATTAAATATCCTTGTCTCTGATTTTCCAGTGATAAATTCGAAAATCTCAAACACTATTGTGTTTGATTTTTTTCCATTTGAATTTTCATATCTCAATCGAGATCATAACAATTCGTATCAAAGCAACGAACCTATCCAACTGCGGGTAGTAATTCTATGAAGATGTTTGAGTAGAGGTCGACAGTGTCATATAACAGTTCGGCTACAAAAGGAGTCACTGGAATAGAATGTTAAGCAATTGCAAAAGTGTTAGGATTGCATATGCAACATTGACTATGATTGTAACTCCTGCCTTTATGATTGCATACGCACATTGATTGTCATTGCTACTTTTGTCTTGATAAGGTGATGGAGACTAGAATTGTGCTCAACGACTCTACCAAAATTAAGGCAGAGAAGCGAGCCGTAGAATTAATTTCAATTGCACCTCTAAAAAATTAAAAAATGGAAGTGATCAAGTTTATTATGACAATTGTGAAGTTGAAATAGCAGGTAACATCTATCTACTTTCTCTATCATGATTTAAATTTGCAACATATTGATGAGGTTTCTTGGGTTAGTAGATGAGTTTGTGGGTGGATATGTAGAAATGAAAGATAAATTAAAGGAAATGAAACTAAGAGTTGCTTCCCACTTGTTTGATGAAGTATCTTAAAGAAATCATGTCCAGGCAGTGCGTGTTTTCAAAGGGAATCAAGAGCAAGTTCTCTCTTGAATTAGTTGGAAATGGACTAGTTGTTCCCATATGGGATCCAGGGATAAGTTTGAAGACCCTGAAGTTAACTGATTCACAGAAGTAATGATCGAGAAATTTCGATGGATATGATTAGCATGTTTTGTTTGAATAGATCTTCTGATAACATCAATCGAGTGTGGGATACGGGATAAAAGTGGTTTGTGTATTCTCCTGTTGTGCATATTGATTCTATATGTTCAGTTGCGACCATTCCAACACATAGTCGTGTTTACAGTGGTACAAGAAGTCTCTCCTTACACATAACAACATTTTCCAGCAACATATAGCCATAATTTATTTGTCTATACGTTATTAGTCAGTTGATGGGTGTACAATTTGGAAAGCTTCTCAAAGAAGAGGTTCAGTCATGGCTAGAAACTTATCTGACTATCAGAGTAAAAGCTTCCTTGGCAGAACAACATGTTTGTGAACAATGTCAACCTTGATCATTTGGTTTTATCCTCCTTGTTGAAATATTTTCTGGTGCTCTTAACTTCGATAATAGACTTAAAGATGGCAAAGCGACATGGTTACAAATTACTTGAACAAGGCTGCTAGTAAATTGGTTAATAGGGACATTCAGCGTGGGTACTGTTATACCTCATTTTAACCGTGTCAAATTAGTGTACAACATTTTTGGTGATTTCAAAGGTAATAACTAAGTCAAAAAATCGTCACCTAATTATTACAGTGAATTAGGACACCTAAATTGATTAAAGTCATGTCTAAAGTTAAACTTCATTTTAAGGTCTACTAAACATGAGATTCTAGGTAAGGGTTCAACTAGTATAAAAGGAAGGGATTAGACATCCTTTAAGATCCATTAAAAATGATTAACCGACCGAACTTGATTAATTAATTAGGCTAAATGTAAGAAAAATGCTACTATTAAAATTGAGAGTTTAGATAAAAATAGTTCAAAAGAAAAGTATAAAAGTTTTATGTCCAAAATAGCTTATATGGACAAATAGCTTTTTAATTTGTCATTATAACAAAGCTCACTACTTTTATGGCAAATGAGAAAACAAAAGTTAATTGGAATACTTGAATTTTCTTTAATTCCCAACGAAGAAAACGAGACGATTCCCACGAAAGAATCACTTTCAAAAGTATGTGATTATTTTCTACATTTCCCTATATAGGATTTCACTTTTTTCCTCACCAATTTAATTTATTTATTTATTTTGGTTACGTTGCACTAAAAGTATATTAGTCTTAATATAAATAACTTTTACGTTATTAGATTAATATACTATATAGCAGGTAAACTTACATTCTATAAATTTAAATTCATTATTTTATACTAATACTGCCAAGTAAAGTTACCTTTTCTTTTAACTATATTCTTACCAAGTTAACAAGTCTTAGTACATGGTAACTTTAGTTAATTTGTTATAACGTTTTAAGTATCTCATCTCGATTACTTTTATTAAATTTGAAATAAATCATTGCTTATTTTGTCAAATCCATCGAAACAAAGCTATTACCAAGAAAACTTGAAAGTTTGAAACAAAAGATGATAAAATAAAATCTTTTTTTTTATACTCAACAATATAGATTCATAACCTAATTTTTAGAAAGTTGGAGATTAAAAAGCTTGGAGTAGACTCGTCATTAGTATAAAAAAAATAGTAATTTCAAATTATGAAAATAACATTATTGACCCAAGGTATTTTGCATACAATTCAAATTCATTTTTTGGTGCAGATGGTCATATTTAAGTTCAAGTAATAATGTTTCCTTACCCACATTATTCTTATAGTTAGTTATCTTGTTTTTAACTTAGCAAAACTTTTATGAATCAATGCTATACATGAAATGGAACTGGCAACAAATACATTGCTAAGACCATAACTTAAAGGTAAACAAAATATGACTTATCACTTATTAATACATCCCGGTTAGCATAATAAAGCGTGTAGTAAACAATTCAATCTTGAAAAGAAACACCATTTTTATGAACTTGTTTATATCTAACTTCTAACAACAACAAAAAAATGTATAAATAGGAATAGGTTCAGATTTTCTCCTAACGAGCAGGGAAATGTAGGAAATATGGAAGGAAATTAATATCTTTAGAGAATGCTCAAGTTTATTATATGCTACTTAAGACCACTTGAGATGATAACAATCATCAACTATATCACTTTTTATACTACTCAAAATATAAATAAAAAAGTCTTGCACAAATAACTAAATACATGTATCACAATTTACTAGATACATGTACTATGAAATTTTAAAGAGACTTCTTGAAAAACTAAGAGGCAATTTCGGAAGACTAAACATTGATGCATTAATTCCAACACTCCCTCTTAATGCATTTGCTTGATAACTCCAATGCGTTCTCGAAGATAGAAAAAATTTTCTCTAAGAAGTGCTTTGGTAAAGATGTCAGCAAGTTGTTCTCCTGTCTGACAATAATGCAACTGAATTTAGCCTATCTCTTGTGCTTCTCGGATAAAATGATACTTGATGGCAATATGCTTTGATCTTTCATGGCTGACTGGATTCTTGGCAGTTGCAATTGCTGATTTGTTATCACAATACAAAATAATTCTTTTTTTTGTTTTTCACCAATGTCTTAAAATATTCTCCTAAGCCAAATAACTTGAGAAGTAGCTTTGGATGCTGAAACATATTCTGCTTTTGCAGTGGATTGAGCAACAACACTTTGCTTTTTTGATAACAAAGAACAAATACTTGATCCAAATAAGAAAGCATAACCAAAAGTACTCTTCATGTCATATATACTTCCAACCCAATCACTATCAGAATAACCAATTAAGTTCAAATATCCACCAAATTTGTACATAATCTCATAATCCATTGTTCCTTGCAAGTAGCGTAGAACACGCTTTGCAGCTCCAAAATGCATTTGGATTGGTTCTTGCATTAATCTGGATAATAAAATAATAAGAATCATAATATCTGGCCTTGTTGAAGTAAGATATAGAAAACTTTCAATCAAACTCCTATAAAGTGAGCTATTAACTTTCTCTTCTCCATCGTCTTTTGTAAACTTATCATTTGTTGCTAATGGTATGGCCACAGACCTGCAATCCATCATTTTGAATTTTTGAAGAATACTTTTAGTATACTTCTTTTGAGAAATGAAAATTTCTTCTTTCACTTAAGAAACTTTGATACCCAAGAAATAATTTAGCAACTTAAGATCACTCATTTCATAAGCTTGCATCATATCTTGTTTGAAAATTTGCATCATCTTTACATCATTTCCTGTAAGGAGCAAATCATCCACATAGAGACAAAAAATGATAATCTGCCATGTTCTTTCTTTACATACAAAGTGACTTCACTTTTATTTCTCTGAAAATTATTTTTTAGAAAGTATGTATCAATTTCATTGTACCAGGATCTTGGAGCTTGCTTCAACTCGTAAAGAGCTTTTTTTTTAGCCTGTACACCTTTTCTTCTTCCCCTTGAACAAAAAATCCTTGAGGTTGCTCAACATAAATCTCTTCATCAAGTTTTCATTCAGAAATGCTGATTTAACATCAAGTTGAAATATCTTCCATTTCTTTTGTGCAGCAACAACAATTACAGTTCTAATTGTCTCAAGACGAGCAACTGGAGAGAAAGTTTCATAAAAATCAATACCTTGTTTTTGCGTGAAGCCTCTAGCAACCAACCTTGCTTTGTGCTTTTGAATATCTCCTTCTTGATTGAGTTTGATTTTGTAAATCCATTTTAGACTTACAACTTCTCTTTCTCTAGGAATAGCCACAAGCTCTCAAGTATTATTTTTTTCAATCATTCAAATTTCTTCTTCCATGGCTTTCTTCCAAATATCATGCTTTATTGCTTCTTCATAATTTTCTAGCTCAACACCGGCAAATTACATCTTTGATAAATGTTACTCAATATTTTTGTTCTTCTTGGAGGCGGTTCTTCATCATCTGAATATGAGATTTCTCCCCCTTGAGAGACATCTTCATCTTTCTCATCCTCTTCATGATTTGAAGATATGATAGCAGTATTCTCTATCTTTTTATCCTCCCAATTCCATGTTATTTTTTCATCAAAAATGGCATCTCTACTAATAATAAGTTTGTTAGTTTTGACATCGAAAAGCCAATATCCTTTTGTCACATCACTATAACCAAGAAAGACACATTTTTTACTTTTTTCATCCAATTTTGTTCTTTTCTCAGCAGGTACATGAGCATAACAAATACACCAAAAAAATTTAAAATGACTTAAAGAAGGTCTAATTCCACTCCAAGCTTCAATTGACGTCTTGTACTTTAGTGCCTTTGTTGGACACCTGTTAAGGATGTGAACTGTTGTATGCACTGCTTCTGCCCAAAAATATTTTGGCAGCCCTTTCTCATTCATCATAGTTCTGGCCATTTCAACAATTGTTCAATTTCTTCTTTCAAATAAACCATTTTGTTGAGGAGTATACCTTGTTGTAAGTTGCTTTTGAATGCCTTCATTTTTTCAATATTCTTCAAATTCCCGACTTGTGTACTCACCTCCTCGATAACTGCGAATGATTTTGATGCTCCAACCTTTTTGCTTCTCAACAACGGCTTTAAATTTCTTGAATATAGCAAATGATTC